GGGGACGTGAGCGGCAGTCCCGGGCGAGGAGCTGAGGAGGGGGAGCCAGCGCGACGCGTGGCCCCCCTCCGAGCTGTCATTTCCGCTCGTGGCACGTCTCTCGGGCTCCCGCGATGATTGTGATGGTCGCTACTATCAGATGGGCGACGCGGAGCGCACAGCCGACCCGGAGCCTCCCTTCCTCCACCCCCGGCTATTTCTGGAGGCGCTGGGGGAGGGGACGTGTTGCTCAGCCCGGGGCTCGAACCCCGCGCGGAGGCCCCGCTGGCTCCGCCGGCTGAGGCGGCGCGGGCGCGGCGGGCGGGGCTCCGCTCGAGGGCTGGAGAACTTTCCTCTCCCCCGGGGGTCGCGGCTCTGGCCGGGTTTCTGCGAGGCAGTCGGGGTTCTGGGAAAGGGAGGGTCACCGGGCGGCAGGTGCAGGGCAGAGGGCCGGATAACGGCGCAGAACGCGGCCGCCGTCAGCGGCTGAGGAAAGAGGCCCCCGGGTGTGTGTGTGCCGGGGAGCGCGGCGACGCTGCGAGCCCCGAGCCTCTTCCACAGAGTCGGGCTCAGCCCTGGTGGGAGCATCAGCTGTGAAACCTGCGTGAGCAGCCTGGAATGTTCATTTCTGGGCTTTTCTGATTGGGGTGGAAAACCTGTATGTCGCTGGCTCCCCCCGTGCACTTTAAGGAAGTTCAGCCTGAATTCTTTTTTGTCTCCTTGAAGGCCTTATTTTGTCTTCACCTGAGAGTCGCTTCCTTAAGGAAAGGATTTGTAGACAGAGTCAGGCCAGTGCAGAGAAAGTGTCATCGTTTTCAACTAAGCGAAGGTCATTAATACCACCCGCATCTGATTTAATCATGAGTCATGTGGATTGTTCTTTGAGAAGCCTTTTTTTTCCCCCAATGAGGAAAAAATTAATCCTATGGAAAAAAAGGGCGTGGCATCACCTGAATAGTGTAATAAAACACACATCTATTTTTTTTCTTGTGTTTTGCTCCCTTTTATTACTTTGTGGCAAGTATAGAACGTAATGTACCCGATCAATGCTAACTTCATGTGTTTTGTCCTGTGGATAAAGGCACATCCTCACAATGACTCAGATAATAATATTGCTAACCTTTGACTTACCCAGAGATTACATTCTAACCTCGTTTTTATCTTTCTTTAAAAATGACTTTTCACTGGCTGGTTTATTTCTGTCCTCATCATCCCCTACAGAATTGTTCTTCTTTGACTCCTTCCCACAAAGGAGTAGGGCTTGGAAAAAGGGAGTTTACCATTTTTAATTGTTCAAGAATTGCTTGTGTGAAATGTGTCATCACTGTGAGGCTTGCTGTCTGATAATTATGCAGTGCACACATCTTCTTGGAAATGAAAGAAGGTGTAACTGAAACAGGATGTAAGAACCCCTGCCTGGCAAGGTTGGTAGCATTTTCTGAGTGGTTCCAGCCACCGAGACCAGAGCCACATATGTGGCGCGAATGTGACAGGCTCCCGGGACCCAAAGGTCCCTGGTAAGGAGATCTGTGTTTCTCCCCTTCTTCAACGTGTCCTACCTTGCAGCCTAACCCTGAAAGAATTAAGGTTCGATAAGGAGTGTGATGTATACTCCAGCAAAGTATGGGAGGAAGAGAGCAGTTATTTCTGGCATGATTTATATCTAAGCTTACCTAAAAATAGCTGAATCATGACATTTAATATTTTTCATGCTGGTCATGATTGGTTGTCTTTTGATTATTTGTTTATGGTTTTGTTCTTCCAGGAAAAGGACCGTTTTTTATTTGTCACCCTGTTTCGCTCTTAATAGTAAATCATTACCAGCACTGACAATGGTAAGTCCGTACACTTACATAAATAATGCGTTTATTTTTATAGACTCTATTATATTTAGTAACTTAAGGGTGTTCCCCTTCTCTACTGGTTAGCTAGCTTAGTGTTTATTTAGCACCACTGCTAAAGGATGATTAGGGGAAAACAACAATTAAATTTAAAATTAGACACTTAGATGATTCACTCCAGTAAGGGACTTAAAGGATTTTGAGCTTATTGATTCGCTTTCACTTTTTTGTTCAATCTTAGGTTTTAATAGAACTGACATTTTGTGCATATTTAGACATCTAATTAAGTAATATATGATACTTCAATTGCTATGAATTAATTTATGATTTATGGCCTTAATTCATCTTTCTCAGCTAGAAATGCACCGTATCATCTGACTGTTGCAGAATCTGGAATTTTCTGCTGTGGTCTTTGATTAACTAAAAATTTCATTACATTGCTTTAAGTTGTATTTTTGTGGATGGCTCGTGTTTCTTCAAGTGCTTTTCATAATGTGTTCCTTTGTAGAAGCACAAGTAAGAAATTGCTTTAGTAGCCGAATGTCCATCCTACTTGGAGACAGGGAAAATCAGTTGTGATGATTGACTAGTGCTCTTTTCACAGGCGTTGGTATTAATGAGAGTGTATTGTTCAGACAGGAGAACCCCAAGAGCAGACATTTGAAACCCTCTCCATCCTGCACCACAAATGCGGACGATGCTTATTGATTGGGTGTCTGGATGTTCCCACAATACCCGGGATTTTTCCAAAGTACTCACCCACTTTGCTGTAACATTCTTTGTATTGTCATCCTGCTGTACCTAAGTGGTCAGGTGTGCTCATTTATCTGGTTTATTGCTATTCGGCTACTACCATGGGCCTTTACAAATAGCTTCTCAATACATTTTTGCTGTATGGAATAATAAAGACTAGAATTCCCTCTCTGCTAGGTTGGTGGATGTTCTCAGCTGCACTGAGGTCTTACTTCTTTGCCCTGGATGGATTTGCAGATAGGCCAGGGACTACTCATCAGTAGACAACCCAGTGATGTCTGCCTAAATCTCCCTTTCCATTCCACAAATGGATACTCATCCTGCACCTAGTTTAAAACTCTCCATTACCCTGAGAATAGTGACCTTGATGGTGATGGAACTTCATCTGGACTTCTGTTTCTGTAGGTCATGGCCCGCAACCGGAACTCCGGCTGGTGGTCAGTCCATTCAAGGGGCAAGTTTTCAGATCTCATGACTGACGCTGCTCATCCTTGTAATTGTCCTTATGCCCTTGATTTTTTTTTTT